AAAAATATAAAAAATATAAAAATATAAAAAATATTTAAAATCATTAAAAATTGGAGGGTGCATTCAGCTTTGTCTTTTATTCTTTCATTCTTTCATGACTCTTAATTTTCATAGTTGGGATTGTTAGAAAGCCCCATTCACTTACTGTGCGATACACAAAGACTCTAAGCAGTTTTCCTCCAATTGTCTCCAGCTCTTGTCCATTGTACAGTTCATTGAGCCCAACTTTCACTTTTATAATGTGATTCTGCAGGATTGTTTTAAGAAGGCGTTGATCCATCCTTAAGGTGTCATCTACAAAGCCATTTAGATATTAATATATAGCTATTTATATAGTGAATTTTTGATCAAATAAAGTTAACTGTGGACGTTACATTAAAAGGCCATGGAAATACTGAATCTTTCTTTGAAATGCTTGAGTTAAGTTTTGGACAGATCTGTATACACAGAAAATGTATAGAAAAACAGAAAAAAGAAATGTTAAAGAGTTTCTGTAAATTGCCATTCCTTAAATTCAGACATGAACTTTTGACATAGCCCTGATTAATTACTATAAATAATATGGCAGGTGACTCAAATGTGGGCCTGCTCCATCTTCTGAATTACTGATGAAGTTCTTATTACAACTTCTCCTTTCTGCATGTACACCTCAAAACCTTTCCAAATTTTCTTCTGTGGTGGTGAGTTAATATTTGAATTCTTGGGGGAAGTGCAGGATGTCCATGTGGTCTACATATACGCAAACACCTGGTTTATAGTATATTTGTATCAGTTTCTCTCCACTTTAATGTACTGAAAAATACCAATCTTCTTGTACGAAGTTTTTCAGAAAAAATACATTGTGAATCTAATGCAAGTAATGCAAAGTTTAAGGGAACTGGAAGCTCATTAATATCTTTCCCACAATCTGTCTGTGCATATTTTGTATCTTATTTTAGTGGTATTATTTCCATTAAGAAATGATACCACTAAAAACAAGCTGTGCAGCCTGGTGGTTAGGCTTGTTTTGTCTTTCTGCATGGTATGTGTTTTGAAAGGATGAAGTATCTATTTCTCTATGGCTTTCTTTCCTTGTGACTTAGAACAAGTAGTGGGGCTTCTTTGGAAAGCTGTCAGTTTAGCACATATTCTTGTTTATTTTGACATCCAGAGCATAATCTTTTAAGGCTACTAACCTGAGAAAGCACCATTCAGAGGTACTAGGAGAGTGTATTGGCCTTCTGGTCTTAGAGAAGATGCCAGTCCTAGCTGTGCCACGAGGTCTGTAAAAGTAGTCTGCTGGGCACCCCCAAGCTCAATGACTTGCTTGGCTGCAAATAAAGGAATAAGAAAAGTTATTTTAACATGCAATTTAGTCCTTTTCCTGATTTGGATTCTCCATGCTTATCCACAACACTATATTTGAGGGAATCTAGGTAAGATTGCAGGAAACATCTTCAGTGTAAGAAGTTTTTCATAGACAGCACTGACCAGAATCAGGAATCAGCACTTCATCAATGAGGTGGATAACGCCATTGCTTGTCACAATATCTTTGCGTTTCACCATCTTCCCTCCATTCACAGTCAGACTTTCACCATCACAACCAACTTCAACTGTGTTTCCTTCCAAGGTTTCATAGACAGCTCCTCCTGTGATGGCTTCAGAGCACTGGAGAGTATTTAAAATATGGAACTTTACGAGAGCTGTGGAGAAAAGAGCAGGAAGTTCATATATAGGTGTTTGAACACATACTCATATACATATATCCCACACATATAAGTGTGAGATAAACTATTACATCACACTATTTTTAATAGTTTACTAGCATATTTGCTTATTTGCTCTTATAGATTCTTTAGTGGAATTTATTTATATAAGAATTGATACTATAGGCTTCTAAACAACCTCTATGGACAAAAATATTTGGCATCCCTTATATTACGAAACCTATACTGGTTATGCTGCAATCTTGTCATGGTTTAGCCCCAGCCAGCAACTAAGCACGATGCAGCTGCTCGCTGGCTTCCCTCCACCTGTGTGGGATGGGGGAGAGAATCAGAAAAAAAACCCTCATGGATTGAGATAAAGCAGTTTAATAGAACAGCAAAGGAAGAGGAAATAATAGTAATAGTAACAATACTACTGATAAAGGAATATACAAAATCAAGTGATACACAATGCAACAATTGCTCACCACCCAGTGATCAATAGCCCATCCCTGAGCAGTGATTGCCACCCCCTGGTTAACTCCAGTTTATGTACTGGGCATGACATTATATGGTAAGGAATATCCCTTTGGCCAGCCTGGGTCGGCTGTCCTGGCCGTGCCCCCTCCCAGCTTCTCGTGCACCTCCCTGCTGGCAGAGCATGGGAGTCTGAAAAGTCCTTGACTTAGTATAAGCATGACCACAACTTAGCAGTAACTAAAACCATCAGTGTGTTATCAACATTATTCTCGTACTAAATCCAAAACACAGTACTATACCATCTATTAGGAATAAAATTAGCTCTATCCCAGATGAAACTAGGACATATCTGCATGGAATAGACTGTATAATTCAGTGACTGCAGATGATATGCTCCAAATGGACCTCTGAGTACAACTCTACAGGCTATGGAAAGTCAGCTCCCAATTTATATTTTCTTATGCCTTACTATATAAGTGACATTCAGTGTACTATCCTCTGTGGGTACCAAAAGAATCATCCAAAAATTCCTGAAAGCAAACTGAAAAAAATAATAAGCCACAACAAAAATGCAGTGTTATTTCAGTATTCCATTTTTAGTCATTGTCTCACATTAAAATTAGCCCAGATCTCCACTGAGATACCAGACAGTGACTTCATCAGGCTATAATGAAATGATAGAGACTTGTTTAGTGCAGTGGAACTCACAAATGAATAGAAATATAGCCTTCCATTTCTTAGTGGTCCATTACATTACCGTTCACATAACAAACTGATTTAGTTATTATTTAGTTTTATTGTAGTTCTCAGAAGAATAAGTGTGCTGGCTGTTACAGTTTGTCAGAATATATACTATAAATTCTGGCAGAACTTGCCTTTTACAAGAACATGTCAAATTTTTTATGAAAGAGCTGTTAATGAGAAAGCTATGACAGAGTCCCACATTCAGATAACTCTGCATTTCTAGAGGCAACAATCTCTATTGGAACTATCCAGCTGAACTATTAGAAACACCAGAGTACCTGTATTTTCACAGTTTCCTTTAAACTGTTTTGGAAATGAAGTTTTCAGTGAATTTGAATTTTTAGGTAACTGGAAAAATCAGAGACGGAAGAAATAACTATGAAAGTACAGGTGCTTAATTTCAGAGCTACTAAGATAATGTAGTTTCGACCTCCTGATTTACTCACCTGTATTTCTCATTTGCAAAAAAAAATGTTACATACCTTCAGAAGCCACCTTGTCACCCATGATCCTTTCTAAGAGTCCCCTTGGCAGTCTCTCAAAAGCTTCATTAGTAGGAGCAAAGAGTGTGTAATGACCAGGCCTTCCAAGAATATCCAAGACATCTGACGTGATGGCAGCAGCCTAGAAAATAAATTTGTTTTTTAACATAGGTTATTTAAAATATTACCAAAATACATTATCTGTCTAGTTTCACCTAGTGCCCACAGGCACTTTAATGTTAGGCTGAGATCAGTGTTACAGAAAGATGAAAAAATTAATTTACAAAAAGAAAAGGAAAATTAATTTTGTGGGAAAAATGTGTATTTATATACCAAGTTACCTCCTTAATTTAACACCCAGTAATCAATAAATTCTGATAGAGGTGATAACAAGGCAGAAATTTTTATTATTATGGCCTGAATTTTTAAATGAAAAATGTGAACATATAGGTTTTGACAAATTAGATGAAAGCAATAGGCTATGAAAGCTAATAATTTGCCCCAAAATAATAATTAAAGATGTATTACAAGTGTATGTAATACAAGTTTAATTTGATTAAATGTAGAGAGGAGGTTTTGAATCATAACAGGAGGCTGAGGGGTGACCTCATTGTTCTCTACAGCTTCCTGACGAGGGGAAGCGGAGTTGGAGGTGTTGATCTCTTCTCCCTGGTATCCAGGGACAGGACATGTGGGAATGGTTCAAACCTGCATCAGGGGAGATTCAGACTGGACGTTAGGAAACATTTCTTTACTGACAGGGTGGTCAAACACTGCAACATGCTTCCTAGAGAGGTGATTGATGCCCCAAGCCTGTCAGTGTTTAAGTGGCATTTTGGGCAGTGCCCTTAATAACATGCTTTAACTTTTGGTCAGCCCTGAAGTGGTCAGGAAATTGGACTAGATGATCATTGTAGGACCCTTCCAATGGAAATATTCTATTCTATTCTATTTCAGGCTTTGAGGCCAGGAAAAAATATGTCCAGGTTTTTATTCCCTAAAGTGTTACTCAGCTCTGGACATTAAAAAAGTTTAACATAATTGATGAAAAATTCTCTACTGTCTAGTAATGAAGAATAGGTAAGCAGTCTGAACTAAATAAAACCCAATTCAGTATTTTTTATAAACATATATTTTCCCTTTAATTTCTTAAATAAATCTTCTTAATTGCTTATAAATCTCCTCTGTACAATGTCACAATTTGGGTGCTTCCATTATTGGATTAATCCTAAAAGAAAATACTGTAACAATATATATTTCTTTGGTGACTGCAACCTGTCCTCATTAGAATCAAAGACTGAAGAAAAAGAACAATGCAGGAAAACCAATTAAAGATATTGTGAGAATATATGATGTATTAAAAGCATAATATGATAGAGTATACCAATATAAATTATGAGCAGATTTTCTAGAAAAAGAACATATGTAAAATCGAACACATCTGGACTTCAGTAAAGGATTTGTTCAGTTAAATATGAAATATTATTAGCTCAGCCTAAGACAGAAACATAAAGTACATATGAAACTGGTGAACTGGAAGATGGGAATAACCAACATAAGAAATGTCATATTAGAGTTTCAGGGCTGATTTTGTCTAATTGTTTCCTTAGCACATTTGCTTTTGGAGCCAAAATCATTAAAGCAGTATGAAGTGCAGAGGAACACACAGAGGAATTAGCAGGTGTACGTGTTAGGGACTTCACCCTTTTAAAAGTCAGAAAGGCAGACTGCAAAGTGAAAGAAAAACAAGCATGATGTTAGCATGTATCCTGGAAACCAGTAAGTTTTTTTTCAAGCAGATTTAGAGAGGTACACAAGTTAATATAAAAGGAATGGGTAAGACCTTATCTAGGTCTGTTTAAAGTTCTCAAAATTTACGCCCAAAAAGAAGTAATACAAGAAAGAAGGCATAGGAAAAAATGAAATAGAGAGGGCTTCTTTATCAACTGGAGACTAAAAAGAGTTGTCTTTTATATTAATTTTTTTGAAGGGATTAAATGATGTGGTTGCGTATAACTGTCATTTGAGGACTGGATTTGAGGATTTAGAGGGTCTTTTCCACCTTTCTGCCTCTGCTTTTACATTTTTTTTTTGTATTTATTGAGGAGATGGAGGAGGGCAAAGGACAAGAGCTATTTGCAAAACCATGGCATTTTTTTTAAACATGTGCAGCATGAAAACCCACTACACTAAGCAGACACATCTTCTAATGATTCTGTGATTCTGTGTGATTCTGTGAGTCTAGAAGAAGGAGAAATTAGAAACTTGGACAGAAAAGACCCTGCTTACTCTCTGCAAGAAAAATCCTTCCTACATGTGTTTATTGGTGTTCTGAAACTTGCTGTAAACCAGGTTCTGGAATTTATTTGGGTTTTTTTTACCATTTTCTATCATTCATTTTGAAATCATTTTTGTTTATCTGGCACCATAACCTATGCTCATATGTTTCATTACCTCAGTGCTTGAAGAGAAGATGCACGTTTTTATGTACAGGGATGCATTCTGTCCGATCGATGAAGTCTTATTGATCCACAAAAGAGCAGAAGCACACTCTTTATGTAAAATATACTTTGTCTTTTTACATAGCTAGATTTGCAATATTAGCTGGAATTCTTAATTTACTTCCAGGTATCATACATAAATAGCAAATAAAGAAGAAAAACCAGGAAGACCAAAGAAGCATCTTTATTTTTGTCCACTTACTCTAAGAGATGAAAGATCATCCTCAACTTCAATGAAATCTTGAATGGTATTTCCAACAGCGGTCAGGACACGATCAATGACATGAACAACACCATTGGTAGCGATCTGGTTGCCATGGATGACCCTGGCACAGTTAACAGTAACAACCTATATTTGAAGAATCAAGCAGTAGAAGATTAAGCATTAATTTGACCATATACTTGGAATATGATTCTTGAAGATTGGCCATGTATGTACTGTACATTATATATTCACTGTTGTTCTTTCAGTTTTTGTTTTAATTATTAAGCAAAACTTCGTAAGATTGGAAAGGCTGACTAAGCTTCTGGAAAGCTAGCAGCAGATTTATTCAGGCTACATTGTTTACATATTCATGTTTTATTTCTTATTGCAATTATTCAGATTTGTTTTCCATATCTGGTTAATATGGTGACTGTATTGGTTTTTACTGATGCAAACTGCAATCCAACATAAACATTTCAATGCATTTAAGGCAACAAATATGAGTGACTTGACTGGGAGATTTCTAGCATTTATAAAAATGAATTTTTTTCCAGCCAGATAATGCATGTGTCCCCTGCAATCTTAAATGCTTCTACCGTGCACTCCAATTCAAATAAAAGTTCTGATTTAATATTATTTTGTAAACACATGAAGATTAATAGTAGATTTTGCTGTCAGATTTACTATGAACATATATTTTGGCCACAAAAGTCTTTGTCTTCTAGGAAGAAAGTTCATTCTCATTGGAACAATGAGAACAGCAAACAGCACATGTTCATTAATTCTTAGTGATTAGTCTACACAGCAGACAAAATTTCTTCAAGAGAAAATGTATTTCTTCTTGTCAGTGGCAACTGACTTGCTAGACATTAAACCTTCTATAACATTTTCTTAGCGGTGGAAGGAAGTAAAGGAAAGTGTAATGGCTATAACTGAATAATTATGTTAGGGAAAAAAAAAAAAGAACAGACTTACCCCATTAGGATAATGGTTAATAAGCAATTTCTGGTCATTATACATAGACACCAGAGTCATGCCATTCTTAAGATCTTTTGTCAACATGCGCTTGTTTACCATGTGGTGGTGGAGAGCATTATACAGTTCAATATTTACATTGTCAACCAAATTCCTGTGAATTTCCTGAAGAAGGAAGGAATTTAATTTATTATAAGCTTCAAAACATTCTTTCAGTCAGAAAGATGTACATACTGCTTTATCTTAACAAACCCTATCAGTATGTTCAACAATGGATATTTTCTATTAGGAGACACAACTTTGATACCTATCAATCTGTCTCTACTTAAATGCTGCTTTAGTCTGATTTGCTTACAAATAGAAGACCAGAGGTCACATCACAGACAAGTCATTGGAGGAGCTTTTATTCAATATTTATTTAACTAAAAACATTACTAAAAAAAGAAGACCTGAATCACTGACAAAGTATTATACTCTACATCATGCAATTGCTGGAATTCCTGTCATTTTCCCCAAAACTATGCTAATAACACTAACAATATTAGTATTTGTCATGCAAGGCCTTAAATAAGAAACACACACAGTTACTTAGTACTTCTGGGAAAAAAATCAGACTCTCTAGCTTCAGCAATGCATGTTAAACATGCAAATTATTTTATTATAACTTGTGTAATGTCCTTTTATATCTAAAATATCAGTATTGTTACTTGTCTGTTTTACCATAGACTAGCTGTGGCAGCTAAAACGTTAGCTGAAAGAGAAACACACTTTAACACATGCATGCACACACGCTTACTGAATTTAGTTGCTCCCAGGCTTCATTGCTTGGTGCAAAGAAAGTGAATGATCCTCGTCCCTCAATCTCTTTTCTCAGCTTTGACATGTCAGAATACTGCTGTGTGGAGGTAGCTCCCACAATACCAAGTGTACCATATACATGATCAATTGGAGCAACTAAAACAAACATGAGATGAGAATACCATAAACTCTTCAGTCATCCAGTTTCTGACAATCAAATCTACTTTGTTTCTTTTGATCAGACAATAGTATTGCCTTTCTGAAATAGTTTAAATTAATATTAAAACAATGTGCTTGGATTAAAATTCCAATGTCAACATACTCAAAAACCATCCGAACACATCTGTTTGCTTCCTTCTGAGATTACTTTTCCCTGCTGCAATTAATTTTATTTATGTAAAACAGAATAGCAGAAAGAGGAGAGATCAAGACCTCCTGTCTTCATTTTCACTCCTTCTTAGTTTATTTAAAGCCTATAAGACTATTGTAATAAATAAGATTCAAGTCTTCTCAGGAAAACAAATAAATAGAATTTAGATATGCCACACCTCATGTCCTGGGTTTCTGACCTCACTGGTATTCTTTAGGTTATTCTGGGGTGTGATGGGAATAAGAATACAAGTTATTTGTCATTTTGGGAACTGAAGACACTATTGTTCCTCTCCAATCCAGCAACTGGAAGAAGCTGGGAAACTGAACTACCATAGATCTGCATGATCAAATTCCATGCTGGCTGATTTTCAACTGTGTTGGCTATAGGCAAATGAAAATGAAGCTGTGTATTCTCAGACAGTAATTCTTAAAAAAAGACAATAATTTCTCATGACCACCTTTGAAAATCTCATGTGTTGTAATGCTTCTCACACACTGACTCATCCATATGAAAATAAGCTTGTACCTGCAGGGCATCCTCTCATACCATCCATCTTCATATAGCCAGGACAGCATTCATATAAGACAGTTCTGTGGGATATAGAGAAAAACAAAATTAAATAAGATACAGGACAAACGTATACTAATTTTAGCTGAGCTTAATTTTTAAATTTTATTATTAATTTTTCATTGCTAAGTACACACTCTCCAGATCTTTATGCTTTGTTAAATCATTCAACCTTTTCTGTATAGACTACAAATTTGTTGTATTTTACTAAATACAACGCTTTTGACTTTAAACTTAATGAGGGCAGTCATTTTGTAAGTGCTAGAAAGTGGCATGGCAGAGCCTCAGTTTTTCAAGGAAGACTTTGAAGAAGCTCAGGAATGAGGGAGCGAACTAATTAAGAACAGACATAAAGAAGGTTGTAGAGAAGGAAGTCACTAAAGATTGGATGGATGGACACAAGGGAAAGTTCACTGGTAAATGTAGTGAGGATGAAAACCAGACTACAAGATATCAAAAACAGTGTTAAAAGAGTATATAATCACAGCAGACATAGAGTTTAGCAATACCAGGTATCAGGAACTGTTATATAATGTTGTCAATAAAATATTCTCTAAATTGAATACTTATAGGCTATACATAACAGCACACCAGGGCTAACTGATAGTTCTATACTGTAACACTCAATTTAGCATTGATGGTCTTACAAGATGTAACATCTTCTTAATTAATATGACAGAAATAGAAGTTCTACCATAGATCTGCTTGACAAATTCTTCTCTCTTATACAAAAGTGCAAGTTCAATAAAGTTATCACAGAGTTGATTTTGGCTCCTCAGGAGAGGGAATGTCACCAGATTATATGATCTCACCAAGTCTGAAGCATAAACTTTAAGATATTAGACTTCAGATATTATTTTTCAAATCATGGCACACTGTGAATGACAAGGAAAAATTGCCATCATGGTTTTACATAGGAGATTTATTTTTCTGGGTGTGGCTGATGTTGGCACTGCTAGAGTTCTGAACACTAATTCCTTGAAGGTTTTTGCTGAGTCTTTACCACTACATTCCAGCTTTTAACTTGTAGACTCCTTGGTGGCAGCTGAGTACACTTCTCTCATTCTTCATAAACTAAAACTGACAAAACATTAACCACAAACATTAAAATGAACAGCTTATTCAAATGAAAAGTTGGACTTAAGACCTTCAACATCCAAACTACTTGAAGAGATTCAAAATTGAAAGTAGACTGGAGGAACAATAACATTACAAAGCATGAATTTTAAAAGTGAGAATTATAATTCCATTATTGACAGCAATCTAACAGAGCTGAAGATTAAAGACTTTTCTAAAAAACACTTAGTTTTTAATTTCTCTGTACTATGAAAATATTTTGTCTCCATTCCCGCATATACATATACACATATGACATATTTACCCTTTTGCCATGTGCATCTTTTCAACTGAGAAGCCATATATTGAAAGAATTTGTATAGTTGTTTTTAATACATCTCTTTCTTTAAAGCAATTCACTGAATAATTATTTCTTGGGAATGCAAGAACAGCACACAGTTTAGGCTACAAATTTCCTGAATAATAAGGAAGTTAACTTTATACTCTACCTCCTTGTTGCATCCTTGCCAGAAGCTAATAAAAAAAAAGTCTGATTAAAGAAAACCGTCTAGCAGAATAAGAATCAGAATGCTCTCCTAATTGTGTGAACTGCTTTGTCATGAGAAAATATTTTTTCCTTCCATGGAACAGAAAGTATCTCCCCCTGCTGCCCCATAAGCAGCTATGAAAGATTGCAGTCTTCATTAGCTTTTGGAAAAAGGAAAGAGGAAGCTGCGTTATAAGCAAAGAATAAGACATGGCAAGTTTAGTCTTCTTACCATATCCAACAATGACACAATTAATGAAAGGCAGAAAATTGGCTGAAGAACATAGTTAAGAAACAAAACGCTTCTTCAGCCAAACATTATAAGATCAGTGCCTTTTTTACCATCTAATTTGTTATGTACAGCCCAGGCTTTTTTTCAGTCACCAAAGGTTACTGTAAGTTCCTACGTACAGTATTCATGTTCCCTTACTGCAATTAGAAGGTCTATGTATCAGCTGTGCTCAAAATGCAGTGAGAAAGACAGAATGGAGAAAAGGGGTCTGTATGGAGGATTCCATGATAAGGTTAGAACCAGATAAAACAGTGCAAGATGCAGTTCCTCAGCACCACTCATATATAGACACGGTACACAGGGGAAGTACCATCTCACACCATAAGTTATCCTCATCTGTATCTCCCTACTAGTTCAATATAAGATGGTGCCCAAGGAAGTTACTTGAATAACAAGCAATGCTGCATTCTTGACTTGTTGACGTTTTTGGTGGGGGTTTTTTTGTTTGTTTTGTGGTGAGTTTTTTTGTTTCTTTGGTTGTTGGGGTTTTTTTAGCACAAAATTATTTTGACTTCATCTAAAGGAGAATATTCACAGGAAAAAGGAGCAGAGTAACACTACCTTACATCCTTGTTATTCTTGGCTAACAGAGACAGTTTTCAGTTTATTCAGATCAGCTCTGTGACTCATCTGTTTCTACTCCTTGCTGGCATGGACATGAAATACTACAGAGAAACTACAGAAAGTGGAAAGACTTCTGGTCCAATAGACTGATTTTAGCAAATCTTTAACTTGCATCCCAATTGGAAAATTACAGCAGTGGAGAGGAAGTGTCAATAATAAAAGCATTCTTAAATTAGCATTTTATAGATCATATATACAAGTTAGAGAGGACTTGTTAACACAGAGATATTAACATGAGAAGAGCCATTGTCCTTTGGATTAGCATTCTTATTACAGTAACCTCTTTAGCCATGCCTGCATTTTGGATTTGAGTACAAAGAGTATAAAAATCCCATTAACAGCTAAGGCTAAGTTATAACAGATGATCTATTGCAGCCACAAAAAAACGTCAGGAGTTCTATGACTCAACTTACTCTCATACACACAGTTTTCCCCCTCTAGCCTTTTTCTGTGAGTGCTTGTACAATGGTAGGAGTGTTAAAAGAGGAGGGAGAAGGTGGGTGATAGTTTTGTGTAGACTCTCATGCCCAAGTCCACCCAGCCTCACAGCTCAATGTCTTCTGGTTGGCTGTAGCAGGCTTCTTGCTTGGGGCTTTACACAGTCTCTGCAAAATGCTTTACAGCTTACATTCCTCTAAATTCTAGTCAGTGAAGAGAACAAAATCACCACCTGACTTTAGTTCAATGAGTCCAAACTGCCTATTGCTTCAAACTATTTTTCTTGACACATGAAGGTATCTATCACTGCATAACTCATTTTACTTCTGGAGCTCAGCAAAGTAACGAATTCCCTGTCAGATTTGGGCTGAGAGCAGACTTTCTCTCATGGGGAGACATGACATCTATCTAGGAATAAAACCACAGGAGTAGGTAGTTTTCCAAAACTGACTTTGAGAATATCCAAGTTGCAGTCTAAGTCATTTTCAAGAAATACCCTTCTTCCCAATGCGTCTACAGGGGAATAAAATGTAGTGCCAAAGAAGTCAGTGGTATGGCAGGCTTTACTCAAAAGGTTAAGTATTTTAGGTGACTTGCAGCATGTCCAGTGAAAGAAAAGGGAAGTCAGTAGTGTAATGTCACCCGGAGAAGGAAAGATTCTGATAAAAACAGTAACCTATGGGTCCTGAAATCATAGGTACCTGAAAACAGGAAGAGGTGGGGCAAATGACCACACACAGTCTAGTTTGACTGAAAATATATCATTATTACCATCACAAAATACATACAAATCTGCAATTTTTATGAAAAATGAGTTCTAAATTGTTTGGATTTGCTTATAAAAACAAAGCCAAAATCAAAATGGGGGAGACTGGTTAGGATTCCAGACAGTCAATTACATTCCAAAAAAACTTCTGGGGATTTAGAATAATCAGATTGCTTGTCTGAGTAGCATGTTCATTTTGATGTGCATTACGTCCACTCTAACTCACTGCTGTTCCTTTCTTCTGCCTCCTTAAGTAAGTAATCAGTAACCAATAAAGTTTACAACAGCAGAAAGCTTAGAGTGGCAGCTTGGCCCATGAAAATCCGGTCTTTTCCTCAGCTCTGGTGGGGCTATCGTATCATTCTTCATGTCTAGACTGACTTTAGAGTTGAGTCTTTAAAGCCATGGCAGTACTTGAAAGACAGGACTGTGTGTTGGAATCAGTGTCTCACTGTGTCAGAAGTATAACTCAGCTCCGTTAATTTATGGTATGCTGTCAGAGCACCGAAAATATATTCTCAGAAAGATGGAAGATGGAAAAATGGAAGAAAACTTCCTCCTACTACATCTTCCCTCAGTCTTTTTCCTAAGGATCCTTTCCAACACATCACATGTTATGACATGTAGCGTCTTTCAGGAATCTCAATGCAAAGCCTCTGATGCCCAACAGGAGCAATAGAAACCACAATCCAAGCACATTTCAGGTCCTTGCCTGTCTACTATCTGATTTACATTTCTGATTTTAACAGTGCAAAAATAGTTACTGGAGGCATTTCTCTCACATAAATAATCACTTGGGAGTCTTAATCAGTTTTATATTAGTAAGTATAGGGATCGTGGTCAAGAAGAACTATGAATATAATCATTTGTCAGTCAGGACAGCTGAACCAGATGAAAAATGAAACAAAATGTAAAGTTGGCTTTGAAGAAAAATGAAAAAAAAAATAAAGAGGAAAAGGATACTTTTTTAATTATGGAAGTGCCATATACATGGATGCACTGATGAGAGCATGAGAAACTGTAGCTATTTTAGCACTGCTAGTGCTGCATGCACACTCAGCATCATCTTTTGTGCCCCGCACCATTCCCCAGCACACACCCAGATTGTGTCTGCATCTAGTTCTTTGTTGACAGAGAATTTTTTTACTCTCTATAAAAAAACATTCAATGAATTTAATACAAGTTTACAAAGTCTTAGAGTTACAGTTTTAACTTAAAAGTATTCTGTTCATAAGAGCTTACTTGGATTCAATGGGAGATATATGTAATTGTTTAAACATAGTCAAATATATCTTTTTTCCCCCCCAGAATTTATTGTTTCTATATTTAGAAACACTTTTTTAAACATGAAGAATGGACTGGAAAATGTGGATCCTATTTACTCATTCCTTTGACAATTAGGAGAATAAAAATATGACTAACTAACTGCAAATGATCGGTCACTTGTTCAAGCTCTCCTTCCTAGTTTATTTAGTGAATTACTGTTGATCAGAAAAACATTTTCAGTGTAATTTAAGAGCAAAGGGAGTCATCTTCAACTGGCTTATGTTGCTAACACTGTAGGTATTTTTCTTCCATATTAGCCTCTGTTAAGGAAGCCTTTAGCATATAAGAAAAAAATCTCTATTCCACATTACATTAACATCTAAAACAGTGGTTGATGCTCATTAGGAAAGTTTTAAATACAAATCTTACTTTAAATGGAGTTAAGTTCCTCATATATATAATTTGCACCACGTATCAATATAACTTAACATCTGTGTATCTTAGTGTATACAATCTCTCGGTGACTATTCAAACTGTGTACTTAAATATTACTTAGGCATTTGGAAGAGTTTTATAGGCTTTCACTAAAAGACTCCTAAAACCCGAAGATGGGGCTGCAGCTGAAGCCTGGACTCCCTGTTCACTCAAGCCTTTCTGAAAATGTCACCCGTACCTATTTGGACTCTGTAAGAGAATAATGGGAAAATAAAAATAATGATTTCCTGTGACACCTGCTGAGAAATTTATCCAAATAATTGCATAACAGCAAGAGAAAATGTGGTACATGAGAAAAACATTAGTTTATTGTATTGGGTAAGCAATGTCAGAATTAAGTAATTTAATAGAGACTGAGACAAGTGGGGCAGACCAAGTTAAGGACTGGGGGTTTTGTATGTGTTCACACTCTGAAGCTGCTCTATGGCTGTCAGTAGTGACTCTGACATTTTGTCCCAGAGAAGGCAATGACTTGCATTCTGAGAAGAGGTGACAGTCGAAATGAACACACAAAAATACAGAAGAATGCCAAACTCACCCAGATTTAATCTGCATCCACAAGTATATTTTGATTTTTTTTTTCTTTGTGGAGAGGTGGGGTCTGAGCACACAGCTCTGCGGGTTAGTCCTGAGTTCTTTTCACAACTGGCCTATTAGGTGCCTCTGCGGTTTTGGGTAGGCCACTTAACCTCATATCTTTGTGTTTAAAATGGATCTGTGAATACTTAACTCAGGGAAGGATTGTTGAAACTAATACTTTGAAACCTCTTAAACTTTAAAAAGACTTATATTAAGCTGTCATTTTCAGGCTTTCCACTCCTTTTGTGATAGTTTTTGGCAACAGTAAAGAGAAGCTGTAACCCTGTACAGTTATGAACTGAATTCTTCCTGTGTCTGCATTTGAAACAAACAGTTATTTTGTCTCTGAGAAAAGGAGAGTTTTCTAATCGTACATTATATTATCTCAATGAATGGGGAATAGTTTTGAAACAGAGCATACTTACGCTTTCTTTCCACAGATGGCTCCCTGGTACCAGTTTCTGCAGGTGCTGTAGTATTTCTTTTTTGTTCCCATAACTTGCTGAAGGGCACAGACATTTGGGCTATGGGTGGGAAGTGAGAAATATATAAAGAAGAAGTTTCTGTACATCTTTGGAAAAGTTTATATAAAACAGCAGCAAATACCATTTCTGTTGAGCAAGAGTAAGAAATTAACATCTGGCTTCAGTTTCCCGGGCAGGTGTGTTTTTAAGCAATCACAGTGCAAGCTCCAGGGACTGCCCAGCTGGGTTCCTTGGCAAGCCTACCCTCCTAGCAGGGACAGGAGATTCCCCTCCGTTCTGATTTGGCCTTCTGTCTCTGATGGGCAGCAGTCACCAGCTGTGCCTAGTCAGGTCTCCATGCGCCTTACACTTCTCCCTTCCCCCTGCAAAGTGAATTAATTACCAGCCACCAGGGACTGAGCTGCGAATACCATCAGGCTCTTTTCATTAACGTTTTTGTCTCGTATACATCTGTGCAGCTGAAGGTCATGGGGAGATGGGGAAGAAAAGTGCCTTGTTCTTCATGTAGAAGGAAACCCTGTCTTCCGTAAATCAATCGGCTATTTTGATTACCAACCATTTGGAGTACCACAGACACCTATGTAAACATTCTGGGAATTACTGGGGACCAAAGGGTAAATTGGCATGTAAATAAAAGGAGTCACAGATTTCAAACAAGGAATACTTTTTCCTTAGTGTGGTAGAGTACAGAGGAGGAATTTCTTAAGGGCAAATTCCATAGAGCAAAGGCACTTTGTCACTAATTTTTATAACTCTACAATTAAAAAAAAAATCATCAGTTCAAAAGTTAAGACATATATTTTAACAACAGTAGGAAGTCAATGAGCTTTTTAATTTAAAAAGCAGCCAGTGAACATTTTTATTTAAAAAGCTCAGGGACGCTGCGTGTATGTGTGTAGCAGGCAGAGGGAATTCAACAAAGGAAGATAGGATGGTAAACAATTCTTATTCACAGAACAGCTTTTACTTAAGAAGATTGAAGGAAAATGTTTAGACATGTGTCTCCCTGACACCAGCTGTTCAAATTATTTCCATGTCCCTGAGCAGCCTGGCTTGTAAGCTTTGTCTTTTGAGTACCCTGCTGAGCAGCTTGCTGCATTGCTCTAGTGGGAACAGAATTTTTACAAAGGGCTCCCAGTATATATTCCCATGTTAGAAAGCATTTAAATAGAGTTCATGATTTTCATTAGGATGGAGTAAAGAGACCAAATGCTGTGGAATATGTGTCAACTCTATTCAAATATTTGAAAACATGTATTAATCACAGCTGATGCCCCATTGCATTAATTGTGAACTGTAATTAACTTCAGTGATTCTAAAATGCCTGTATTTTATTAATTGAGAAATGGTAATTTTAGATTTTTTCACATTTTATGAAGTTTAACAGTATTCTGTCTCCTTTTGAAACTCCCCAGAGAGCTTTTTATATAGGAACATTTCTTGTAGAACTAATTGAAAAAGAAGGATCTACTTGAATGATAGTCAGAATTCATAGTGAAAAATCACATTTAATGTAATGTGAGAAGAAAGGGGAGAATAAAGATTAACAAGCTCCCTTTAAAAATAGAAATAAAATCCAGTTACTTACCCTTGGTCGCGTGCCCTTATTCGACTATGCGTTAAAATCTTGTCATAGTGAGCAGAAGCAGCTGCTTGTTCAAAAGCAGACAACATAAAAGTGGAAAAGGTGAATAAGAAAAAAATCTTCATCTTTAGTCCTCTGTTGCTTCTGGCAAGTCTAGAAGAGAGAACTGGCAAAGGGTCTGGAGAGCTGACAATTTATATACATGCTGGAAGGTGGTGGGAGGGAACCACAGAATCAACCTGAAACTTCATACCACCCTCCTTAGAACAGCTTTGGCTGCCAGCTTCAGTAACCTAAATTAGTACCATACATTTACCATATAAACCTTTTTTTTTAATCCCCGATTGACTAATTTCTTCCTTATTACAGAAGCATTAGCATTTTATTCTGCTGACACAACAGCAGAGAAAGTTTGAGAAGTTTAGACTTTGACTTACGACTTGGTATTTATAGCACTGAAGCATCCAGAGGTTGTGATCATCGCGTGTGGTTTTGTTCAAACCCGGAGGAAGATGTTGTCTGTTCCCAGAAGAACTGCACTGCTTTCCTTTGTTTTCCATGTCCTCAAAGTTATCAGCTATGAGCTGTTTGTCTAGTGAAGTTGTTGAAAGTGCCAAACAATACTGTTGTCAATAACCTGGAATAGCATTTTTGTCTTGAGAAAAAAAAGCTGCATTAACACACATTCTAATTATGAAGCAGTTAGTTACACAATCAAATGCAGTATTAGCTTAAACATTCATTTTAATTCTAATAATAACAGTTGCTATTACATAATGCTTTTATTCAGAGCTTTATGTAATCATATAAAAATCACTGAGTAGCTGAAAATTTGAATATATATCTTTTTATACTTATTACGCGGTCCTTGGGAGCCTCTTGTGAAGCAAATGGAAAATGTAATTTCAAGCTGTAAATGAGGGAACTGAGGCAGAAAGGCGAAGTGACAAGCTCAAACCTCCAGTGAAGCAACAGTCTTAAGGCTCCCAGGACAGTTGGTGTTTGGACTGCAATCCAGGAGTTTGCGGTTTTCATGTCAATGAAAACAATTCTGCCGCTTACATGGAAGTGTTCGCATATGAATACGGTTTCAAGGTATGGTCTATAGATCATTTCAGATCTTATGAAGGTAAGGTCGGTTCTAATGACAGTACTTTCCTGTGGTTTCTTACTCCAAACCAGAACAAGTATTTAGGTGAATAACTGGAAATGGATACAGTATTGGACTGACACACCTGGAATGAACCTTTCATTATAGAAGAGCGACACATGGGGCAAAGAGCAGCGGGCAGAGACAAGGACTATTTCCAATATATAATTATAGGTAAAGGTTATAACTAGGCATAGGTGTATAGGCCTTTGATGATTAAGATCATGTCTTACATAACCATAGTACTTCACAGTTTCTAAGGCTAAGAACGGGGGCATTTGGTTAAATGGTAGGGGGACTTTTCCTATTGTGGCCTGTACTCATCCTACCTGTAGATGACTTATGATAGCTCAAGTAAGTATCAGCATCTCTAGACTTGCTGTACATGAACTCAGCAAAACTCCATGCCTGAAATCATCACTGTCGGGTCAGCTGATGGAGGTGATACCTCAACTCTATTATAAGTTTGAAGAGAATGTCACTGCTGTGTTCCTTGTATTCCTCTCCGAGCTTTTTAGCTCTTTCTGGTCTTTGCAGCAAGAAATACGGTGAGAAATATCACCTCTTTGATGTCTAACTATGACATTTCAAGCTGCTAATTTGCCTCTGTTGATTACCCTTTGCAGTTCTCATTCTACAGATGAAAAAATTAGAAGATACTCTGTTAAAGTAACTTAACAAGCTTCAGAAAGTCGCAGAACTGTTGCAGTAACCTGTATTCTCAGGAGTGCCTTCCTCCTGAGTGTCTCAACTCTCAGTGTAGCTCATGTTCTTCTCTTCCACACTTAACATGTAGCATCAAAAAATGAGTAAAAACTAATGCTGCTGCATGCACTGAGCTCCTGTTGTTTGCAGAGCTATCCACCACAGTTAAAGAAGAAGGAATTTGAATAGGGCAAGTGTTTTTGTTTCCAGATTTTTCCAGCTTTCTGATTACTGACCCAGTCTTAAATTGCAGAGAGCCCCATTTGTTAATGTGGGTGCCTAAATAGAGTAGGTTGTAATTCTTAAACTGGTAGTTCCTATTAATAATAGCTTACTCTTCTTTGTTTACACCTGTCTTTGAATCTAATAGGTGCTGGACATAATGGGAACAAATAGTGATTCTAAGACTTCCCACTTCCATACATTAATGTTATACAACTCCCCTTTCCACTTCAGAGGTATAGAAGAAAAGGTGTGAAGGATTATTATATGTCAAACATATAACAGAAGCAAAGAAAATGGTGTTGAAAAAATATGCAATTATGAAGTCATGTTAATTAACCAAATTAAAGGATAATCAACATTAAACCTTATAGCAACATTGGTCACATCATTATATATAATGAGGCAAATGTTAGTACAAAATGAGTCAATGCAGACATAAAGATCACTGAAATAAAATAGCACAAGGAAAAAAGTAATGACCATAAGCTTGACTTCCTGAAAAATCTCTAAACCACTGAATGAGTTGCTCTGGCTAGTGGTGTAAAAATACTCGGATCCTAAAATGGATAAAGCTCATCCTTAACTGGAAATGACAATTTTGAAAATCATCAACCCAGTGTAAGTTGTACAAAACTATAATTTAAAAACTTCCAGTAAGAAAAAAACAACAGAAAACATCAAGAAGAAAAAACAGTTCGACTATATTAATCTTATTCCTCATTTCTGTTTATATTAGCTTGAATATAAAAACAAATAGTGAAGCCAGGTTTTGTTTTGCCTGTGGTATAATGGCTTGCTGAACAGCACACTAGAGTAATAGTTTTCTATTTTGCCAACTAAAATACTGTTCTGGTTAACAGACACTTTATTCACGTGTGATCATTACTACTTTATTATTTTAATTTGTTCTTTATTTAATAAGGTGGCTACCTCATCAAGTAACCACCTTAGTTTTTTTCTTCCTTTGGCTAAATACTTGGGTGCAATATTATACTTCCTAAGGGAAGTGATGTTGAAATTCTAATTATAAATATTGCAAATCTAATGATAAAATACAATAAAACCTCATAGATATGAATTATCATTGTGGCAACAAGATTTTTATTATCCACGCCAGAAGAAGTATATCCAAAGAAACACCTGGAAGAAGTATAGAATAGTGCTGATTTCTATCTTCCATGAAATGTAAACAGTGTCACGAAGAAAAGTATCTGCTCTTCTGAATTGTTTCTTGTATTTCTCTAGAGACCTCTAGTGGAGAGAACTCTGTAAAAGTCATTTTCTCAAAGCTGCATTAAGTGTTTACACTAAGAATTTATCATATTATAAAGCAATTTGTTTTATTATTCCTAAAGAGAATGTTTCATTATATGATGCAAGAATCCTTGCATCCAAATATTTAGGCGTTTCAGTAAGTGCTTTTACATCAGATTGAAGTTACAGAAGCCTCTAGCTATTAGTCACTTGTAGATAATTCTACTGATAATGTGCAGAAATTTAGTAACTAAAATGGAAGGAAATGAAAGTTTTTTCAAATATTCTTTTCCCAGTTAAGCCTGTAGATGTTTCAGATCACTTACAAAGCATGTCATGTATTATATATATTCTGCTGCTTTATTTTGTAACTACTTTTGTGTTTACTTTTTGTTTTGTCAGTTTGTGTGTATTCAGTGGAAAGAGCCAATGGGCAAAAAAAGTTCTAAGATGAAAAGAGAGGCTCCCTCTATCTTGCACTTTTCCCTTGAAACCTTAAGTTTCCTTGGAAACTTTGATTCAGCAAATTTGGGATTTTTGTCGTTAAGTTCACTTAGATCAGCAATTTGCATCTGGATGAACATTCAGTGTCTCTTCTTAAAAACTTGTTTTCAGGAATGCATAGATATGTACTAG